AAAATTATGTTTCAAGATATTCTTTAAATTAATATTTTAATTTAGAGAGTAAGTTTGATTCTCCAAATTTGGAGGGTCAAACTCACTCTTTATAATTAAATGCATTCAAAGTGTTTCAATTTTCAATGTAGAAAAACAATAAAATAATCTAAATTTAAGTGTTAAATATAAAGCGTTTGTTGGAGTACTTCAAAATTTTAACTTTCTGAATTTATAGATGCTCTCCAAATGATAAAATATGCTCTTTAAAAATAGAGAGTCTATTGAAGATGCTATAAGAGCATTAAAATGACTGGAAGTGGAATCCATTCGAGTCATTATTGGATTCCTATTCCCATTTCAAGATTAGAACAAAAATTGCAAAGATGCCTTAGTTTTTTAATGTTTTGTTCAAAATTGAATGGGTTGGTTTAGTGGTTAAGTTAAAATCGAGATTGTGTGTGTGTGTGTGTGTGAGAGAGAGAGAGAGAGAGAGGTAAAAAAATTAAAATAGATATTAAATTATATGAGGTGTCAACATTTGATTGGGTGGACAACTTGAACCGGGACCGGCGGTGGCGCTTTCGTTTCTTTATGTGCGCAACGCACTCCTACTCCCCCCGCTATAACAAATCCTGCACATCACACTCTTCATATAACGCCCGGTCTTCCTGTTGAATCTGCTAAATATTTGAAGATTTACAAATATGGGAAACGGTATTTACTCATAAGAATCAATCAATCAATCTTGAAAATCGATTATTAAAAAATTAGTAAATTAAATAATAAAGAATTTACAATACCGATTCATATTTGATCTGAAAATGCATCGAATTTCAGGTGATAAAGGTCGACCCAGTAAGAAGATCAAGTTTTCCAAGGTTCTCTCCGATTTTCTTTTAGTATATCTTTGCTACCGAGTTTGTATTTCCCGAAAAATGTTCTTATTTACTAGAAATTATCTCATATTTTATTCTCTAAAACTGAAGGAGGATTATAGAGCTTCAACTGCTGAAGATGAAGCTTCTTATTTCCCTGACGATGACCATGATATTCGCGATGGTATTTATAATAAATTATTTGTATTGTACACTGGAATTTACTGTTTATTTATTTGTTTCTTGATTTGGATGAATTGGTGAATTGGATGATTTGATTTGATTTCTAAGGTGAAGGGAAAAAGAGGGATTTTACGAAACTTGAATTGAAACCTGACCATGCCAATCGCCCGCTGTGGGCTTGTGCTGATGGTCGAATCTTCCTCGAGACTTTCTCCCAGCTATACAAACAAGCCTATGATTTCCTCATTGCCATTGCTGAACCTGTTTGCAGGTACATTTTGCCCAATTTATTCTAATTATGTGTGCATGTTCGAGCCCTCGCATACATACTATACAAAACTAGTGTTGATAGCAGTAGCAATCTACTTCAAAAGGAGAAAAATAAGGATATAATGAATCAATAGTCGTTTTACTTGGAAGAGAGGTACAACTGATATAGATAAATGTATGACACGCTTAATACCTTGCTGAATGTACATGTATTGAGTTTCTACACTTGCACAGTTGATTTATGGATTTTCTGTTTTACAGGCCCGAATCAATGCATGAGTACAACTTGACACCACACTCACTATATGCTGCTGTGTCTGTGGGACTTGAAACAGAGACAATCATATCCGTTTTGAATAAATTGTCAAAGACGAAGCTTCCTAAAGATATGATTGATTTCATACATAGCTCTACTGCTAATTACGGCAAAGTGAAGCTTGTGCTGAAGAAAAACCGATACTTAATAGAATCCCCATTTCCCGAGGCAAAATAGTTTAACCTTGTTCATAATTTGGATTGATATGTTAGAGGGCAAATCAGGATCTAAGTTTTTTACAATACCGATGGCTGTTTTCAGGTGTTAAAAAGGTTGCTCCAGGACGAAGTCATCTCACGGGCAAGAATATCCTTTGAGGTACGTGCGTGGCACAGTTGGTTCTCTGAGCAGTTGTCCGGTTATCCAATAAACATCTTCAAGTCTTGTCAAAACTTTGAAAATTCAAATAGTGGAGCTTTCTCTTTTTATTTGGCTTGTGGCTCAAATATGTTGAATTCCGTTGGTTCAGGGGGTGCATGGAAGCGATGGTTTTACGGTTGGAAAATCTGCAGGTGAAATAGTAGGTGGACATGATGAATTGCTAAATGAAGCACAATTGGCTGCTGCAGCTGAAGAGAAAGAAACCCATTCATTTGAAATTGACCCTGCACAGGTAGGTTAATCAGTTCTGATAGGATCATCTGCTATTGGGACATGTGATGCATTTTTATCATTTTCTAATGTAGACATATTTTTTGGGCATCAGTCTGGCTGGCCTCAGCCTAATAGTGTAATTTTGATTCCAATAATATATCTTTATTGTGTGCATTGTCATGAAGCCTGGGACGCGTTTTGTTTCTCCAATTGATTTGGTTTGTTTGGATATATTTCTTTACTAGATGCTATTAATTGGCGGTAGTTTTCAAGAAATAGTAGAATTGATCTATTTGGATATTGACGCGAAACTTAAAGAACTAACCCGTTTGCACCACTTACGATTAGGAAGAAATGATATCTGACCAGCTATTCTCATTTCTGTCATGAACGTGCATAGTGCATGTACGTGCATTTTTATATTAATATAACTGAAAATGGCTTAACCGATCTTTTAACATGCAAGATTAGGGATTTCTGTCAGAGTTCTGATAAAATTCCTTCCTCATGTTTCTTTGGCAAATTTTCTAAGTTCCTTCTCAATACTTGTGGTGTCTGCTGTTTTTATAATTTCGGAAACCACTCTCTCTTAGGTGGGTGTGTTCATCTAAACTTCTAATGAATTTTAGAGATTAAAAGTTTAGGTGTATTTAGTCAAGACTTTTTAAGACTTCATAAAAGTATTGGATATTCAATATAGATTTTTTTCAAAGTCCTTGCTGTATTCAGTTGGGACTTTTAAAGATTTCATCTGACATTTTTAAAGTGGTGGACTTTTGTAGAATTTGTGGACCTTTATAGAATTGTATGGAATTAATGAAAGTCCTTTGTAGACTTCATAGACTTTTATTTTAACCATTTGTTTGATCCCCATTATTTTCAAAATATATTTTTGTCTCTTCTTTTCAATTACACATTCTTCAATAAAATAATATTACACGTAAATCTTAATTTTTTCTTATTTTTTAATCACACATTCTCCATCAATTCACTGGGGAACATTTGTTCACGAGGGTGCAATAAGTTATAAAAAGGATTTATTTTCCAAAATGAAAGTTTGTAAAAGTCAAATAAATTCTGTAATAGTCCATAAAAGTCTTCATAAAAGTCTATGAAGACTTTTCGTTGATTCCGTAAAAAGTCTTAAAAGTCAATAAAAGTTCGTTGAACTCTATATAAGTCTCTAAAAGTCGTTAAAAATCCAAATTGAATACACCCCTCTTAAAAGTTTTTCTTTTACGTTTTTCTGAGATATATACGCTAGAGCAGGCCAAAAAGGACAAAGATTGCTTGCCAAAATCTAATTAACTTCACAATGTTGTCTAATTGATTCACTGATCATATTCCGCTAACTGTTTATTTGTTGACAGGTTGAGAATGTGAAGCAACGTTGTTTGCCCAACGCTCTGAATTATCCCATGTTGGAGGAGTATGACTTCAGAAACGATACTGTGAGTTGCTTCTGATTTCTTCTTATCATTGCGGCTAGAGCAAGTCTACCTATTGTTTTCACATAATAAGTAAATTTTATAGTTCTGTGAGGACCATTGATTCTCATTGGATATTACAGGTTAATCCTGACCTCGAGGTGGAATTGAAGCCTCATGCACAACCACGTCCTTATCAAGAAAAGAGTCTTAGCAAGATGTTTGGAAACGGTAAGGGTCCTGCTTGTGCCTATTCACTTCTCTCCTGTCTGCATAAACATGCTTGCTTTTATGTATGCTATCACGTGATGCTTTCCATGGTTGCTCTATTTGTTTTATTTCAACTATGGAATTTAAGAAATTTAATGTTCAGAGACTGTAGGAGGATTAGAAAATGCTCCAGGAGCTCTGAAGAATGGGAATGCAACAACCTACCATTAGATTTAAGTTGATATTGATTTTCTTGAGCCAGTTTTAACAGATGCAATATTTTAGTCTTTGAATATACTGTATATATTCTATTTGGATTCATATAACATTTTGAACATATTGCATGCAATTTGAAATTCATAGGAATGACCCTGGTTTCTCTGGCCATGTTTGGCATCAAGGTTTGGCCGCCTTTTATTTTTTGTTTTGCCTCTGGCTGGTTGGGGTGTTATACTCCCATTTAAGTGGGAAAACATTTGCCTGTTGCCGTTTATGTGTTTGAGATTGTGAACATTCCATGACAACAGAATTCTGCGTGGGTTTGACAATGCTTCTATTTGCCATTTCTAATGTCTCCTTTTTGCCGTTTCTTATTTCTCGTTTCAGTGGAAGGTAAAACACTTCTAGACTGTATACCATGCTATCCATTGAATGTTTTTCTTGTCATTTCAGGTAGAGCACGTTCTGGTATCATCGTGCTGCCATGTGGTGCTGGGAAGTCTTTAGTTGGCGTTTCTGCAGCCTGTAGAATAAGAAAAAGTTGTCTTTGTTTAGCAACAAATTCCGTGTCCGTGGATCAATGGGCTTTCCAGTTTAAGCTATGGTCAACCATTAAAGAAGATCAAATTTGTCGTTTCACATCCGATAGCAAAGAAAGATTCCGTGGCAATGCTGGGGTGGTGGTGGCAACATATAATATGATTGCTTTTGGTGGCAAACGTTCCGAAGAAGCTGAAAAGATCATTGAAGAAATAAGAAACAGGGAGTGGGGATTGCTTCTCATGGATGAGGTAAATTCGTATTTGTGGAAGGATTGTTTTTATGTATTTGTGGAAGGATTGTTTTTATGTATTTGGGTGCATGTCCTTTGACATTTTAGGTGCATGTTGTCCCTGCTCACATGTTTCGGAAGGTCATCAGCCTAACAAAATCTCACTGCAAACTTGGGCTTACTGGTATGTATTCAACAAAAATTGCTGCGAACACAATGATATTTACCATTCGACATTCAAGTCTATTTGATGAAAAAGGGGAGGAGAATTTATTGACTGGCTGAATTGCAGCAACACTTGTAAGAGAGGACGAGAGGATCACAGATTTGAACTTCCTTATTGGTCCAAAGTTGTACGAGGCAAATTGGTTGGATTTAGTGAAAGGAGGGTTCATTGCAAATGTCCAGTGTGCAGAAGTCTGGTGTCCAATGACGAAGGAGTTCTTTGCCGAATATCTTAAGAAAGAAAATTCAAAGAAGAAACAGGTCTGTTGGGTTGAGGAAATATTTGTTTCAAGGTCTAAAATTTTATAAATTTAGATGAGTTATTTCTAAAAGGCATGTAATGTTTTTGTTCCCTTGCCTAGCTGCATCGCTTCTTTCATGCTTCTTGAACAGCTAATGTTGGTTAATTAAAACCATCAACTTAAAAAATCCATCCTTGGCATGGCAGAAAAGTCTGAAACATCACCTGCCCAAATTGGCTTCAATGTTCATTTGAACATGACCCGTCCTTTCTTTTGAATGGAAATTGGACTCTATAACTTGTGGTTGATTTTTCAGCTCCATTGATACAATATTTAAAGGCTTTTATTGAAGCAATTTACCCAACTGTTTCTAGTAAATGTTTTCATTATAAAGTTCGTCAGCAGTCAGTAGTACGTATACATATCTTGCATCTCCAGAAATTCTGTTTTGCATCTTCATTCATTGATGATACTTATCTACCTGACTTAAGGGAGGATAAGATTTTATTTTATTCAGTTGTAGAATCTTTACTTTAAACCTCAATAATGTTTTACCTAGTATGGAGAAATTTTACTTGGCCTTTAAATAAGACTAAAATAATTTTTAACTGTTTTTTTATCTAATCGATTGGCTTCTTCTGACAACTTGTTTTTTTCCTTATTTTCAGGCACTTTATGTGATGAACCCTAATAAATTTAGGGCTTGTGAATTTCTTATTCGGTTTCATGAACAGCAGCGGGGGGATAAGATAATTGTTTTTGCTGACAATCTTTTTGCAATCAGAGAGTACGCATTGAAGCTTGGAAAACCTATGATCTATGGTGCCACCAGGTTTGTGTGTATATACTTTTGTAAGAGATTTGATATACTTTTACTATTTTCACCAAGTTATAATGGTCTTTGGGATCATTTTCAGCCATCCTGAAAGAACCAAAATCCTGGAAGCATTCAAAACTAGTCGAGATCTTAACACCGTATTCCTCTCAAAGGTATACTATTGAATTTATTTTTTAACCCAGGTTTATTGTTCTTGTGTCCATTTTAATTCCACTGTAAACTTTGTTTATCCTAGCTGACATGAAATTTTTTGGTTAGATGTTGTCTAAATTTTGTTTACATTCTGATGGTTTTGACTATGCAAGTGCTAAGGGTTTTATTCATAGGCTTGTGCATGCACCATGACCTAAAACTGCTGGCAGGTAAATGTGACAATGACTATATAGCATTATTCTACTGCTACAAGGAGTACTTGTGAAAATGCATAATTTTTAGAACTCCATTGCACTTGTTTTGGGTTGAAAATGGTGTCACAATCATGATGTATGATAAATGTTAACGATACTGTCTGTATCAATCAGTGTAAACAAGGGACACAAGGAACTATATTTAAAAGTTGTTCCTATCATTATGATCCTACTACGTTTCCCTTTACAATCCTTAACAGTAACAAATCCAATTTATCAGTTAGAAAGGTTGTTACTTTGGTATTTACAGGTGGGAGATAATTCTATAGATATTCCTGAGGCAAATGTGATAATTCAGATTTCATCACATGCTGGTTCAAGGCGTCAAGAAGCCCAACGACTGGGGCGTATTCTTAGGGCCAAGGTATGTTTTTTAGCCTTATATATCTCTATGAATTTCATCATTTTGTTTGTTAATGTGACGACTATATGAATTTAAAAATTTAAGAATAATTTTGTTCCAATGTTTTTTTCTTTCAATTTTAAATTAGTCACGTGTTTCCAAATATCAAGAAGGGTAGATATTTTTAGATTTCCATTTACACGTCATCTGCATACTTCTGCTTGAACCAAATCTTACGGTGATGTTGGATGTAGCATTACATGGACCGTTTGATGCAGATATGTTGAAGTTACCCTCTACAGTGTTAGAGATTGCTGGATTGTGATCAGGAAACGTTGAGGCTTATCCAGTTCTGGATGTTCCTTTGGTTCTTAATAAATGATACTATCAGTAAGCAATGCTAGTTCTGCATTGAATCAAATGGCAAGAAAGGGCTTATGTAGCTGACCCCAAGTTTATAGAGACTAGAATGGGAAGTGTCTAGAATGTTCTTACTATCCATAGTTCTTGAGCTCACATCAATTGAGCGGTAGGAACACCAAGGATATACTTAATCCTTTTAAGTTCTCCCATGTGTGTTCCAACAGATTTTAGCATGGGGATGTCATCTAATAGCTTCTAATTCTTTTCCGTATTACAGATATATCATATCTTCTAAATTCTGTGTCTTCAGTTGACAATACAAGTTCTCAACTGGGGTTTTTAACTATAGTATTTTTTTGATCTTTGAACTGAATTTACTGTCTTCTTCCCCAGTTTTGGGCATTCAATCCCACACATCACCATAGTTGAGGTATTGCCGCTAAGCCCTTCACCACCATCACCAAGACACCAACCAACTCCGCGCTGCATAACTACATAGCACTTGCAATAATATGATACCCTACCACCGCCATCGCCAAAGAGCACACACAAAGTCAAACACCCACTCAGACTACCGTTGAAAGTATTTATATCTAAGTTTAGATGAGAAATCACAAGTCAAAATCTGGAAAAGATACACTGCTGTCATCGACTATCCCCCGAAAAACATCAATCAATTGTGCCTAATTGACAGCAAACATAAGGGGTCTGGGTATCTCATGCACAATCACCACACAACTGCAGACTAGGATATGAGATTTCGTCAGCGACATTACCTGTAATCGGGTTAGTTTTGAAAAGAAGTAGATTTGGGAAGTGGCTTATTTTGAGAAATGTCAAGGGTGATGTTCAACTTGAAATGGAGGGTATCTGTAGTATATTATCAAAACATTCTCACTGTAGAAGATACGCGCTTTTGACGGGTCTCTCTCTGCCCCCATATTCTTTTAGTTTTTAGATGCTGTTAGTAATTGGACATTCCAGTAGAGCACATGATTCAGTGATTACATTTAGTCATGGTGTATTCTAGATTTAATTTATGTCTGTCCATATCCAGTCATACAAACATTCAGCAATATACTGCCATTTATGATGGAGTTTCCCTTACGAAATGCACCCATCGTGGCTCATTGTCAAGTGTTTTTTTTTTTTGGATTAACAGGGGAAGCCACAGGATAGGATTGCAGGGGGCAAGGAGGAGTACAATGCATTTTTCTACTCCCTTGTATCTACGGATACCCAGGTGTGCTAGTTTTTGCTTTACAGGTTCTGTTTTTAAATCAGCTTTTGTTTGCTGGTTTTGCTTAGCTGTATTGTCTAAATGCAGGAAATGTATTACTCTACTAAAAGGCAGCAGTTTTTGGTTGATCAAGGTTATAGCTTTAAGGTACAGAGCCTCTCTCACATCTTGAGATTTAATGTTCTATTCCTTTACTGTTTTCTTCATCTTACAGTCATGTTAGTTGTCTATCTTCTCTTGATAGTAGCACATTCCTCTTCAAATTTTCCATTAATGACTTTTTAGATATGATTAATGTTTTTGTTGAATATTCTCCTTACTTTTGACTCTTCAACTTGTTATCAGGTAATCACAGGCTTGCCCCCTTCAGATGCAGGATCTTCGTTGAGTTATTCTCATCCAGAGGAGCAGCGTGCACTTCTTAAGAATGTTCGTATAGTTGTTTTCTAATTTTCTGGTTTTACACAGTAGTACCTATAGAAGCAATGAGAAGGTCTCGACTAGAATCTGATAGTCTTTTCTTTCTTTCATGACAGGTGCTAAGTCAAGGTGATGATGCAGTTGGTTTGGAGCGATTAGAAGAAGATGCAGATGACATTGCCCTTCAGAAAGCCCGTCGCTTCGGGGGGTCCATGAGTGCAATGTCAGGAGCCAGTGGAATGGCATACATGGAATACAGGTATGGGTTCTATGTAATCTCCACTTCAAATAATTTTTCTTCCTTTCTCGATTTACCTACTGGCATTCCTTTGATATGTACTGTTATCCATTTGCACGATATTGGTTCATTAGAGCAAATATTTTTGAGTCTGTGAGGCTGAATTTTTAAATTCTTCCTTGTCCGGTAAAATTTCTAGTCTGTCTAGTAATGCTAAAGGTTATTTGAGCTGAAAATTTGTGTTTTTGCTGCAGTACTGGGCAGAAAAAGGTGCATGGGCAGACAAAAAGCAAGCCCAAGGACCCAGCTAAGAGACACCAATTGTTCAAGAAACGTTTTGTTTAATGGTGTCATGAAGTCGTGCATATTCTTTTGAGGTGCACCAGTCTAATTAGTTCATAAAGAGATTGCTGTACAAACTTCTTCTACTTTGTTGTTTGTCATACATATTATTGTTTAATCCAATGTCCACCATTGTTACATCTTCAACATAAAATCTATGAGAAGTTGAAAAATCTTGGAGCCACTCTTCTTGAAGCCGATTATATTACCCATTCTCTTCACTTGGAAACTTATGCACCGTCTTTTTCATGCAAATAGGTTTTGCAATTTCTTCATTATTCTTCTTTTCTCGTTCAATTTCCTCTTCGGGGCGCTCCCAGTGTATTCTGTCATTACACAAAGTCAAGCATAAATGACAAATCATTAACGCCCCTTCTATTTCCTTCTTTTATGCGGTCATCAA